GAGCTCTTAACCAACTGAGCCACTCGACCGGCCCATAGTTTCATCTTTTGATCGCGAAACTTGCGTGGGCTCCCACCTGTGGTTCCATACTCTGTCATAAGGCATAACGGTGACTGGGCATTTGTCTCTTGGCATATGCCCACCAGTTTGGGGGATTATACCAAAGCACCTTCAACCAAGACAGACTTAGTCCTGCGAAGGATGCGGCCAGGCGAGCATCTGAATGATTAATAGAGTGAAAGTCCTTTCTTTCCTTTTCTTATATAAACTAACATGGGAAACTCAGAGAGCCGTTATAGACCTTATATTTGCCTCCTTAAACAATTATCAAGAAAGGGAGGGATGAAAGTATCAGAGAAAAAATTAGAAGAACTTTTAAAAATTATTGAAACCCATTGTACTTGGTTCCTGGACTTGGGCACAATAGACTTAAATCAATGGGAAAAGGTAGGGAAAGATATTTCAGAAAAACAGCTTAACGGAGAGGACATTCCAAACACGATTTGGGAGACTTGGAGACAGGTCCGGTCGGTTTTAGAGCTTTTGCATACTGACACGGAAGACGAGGAGGAAGGCAAGGATCCTAAGTGTAAGAGCCGTGTTGATTCCTCAGAGGATGAGGCAAGGGAAGAGGAGTCTGTAGAAGTACCTACTGTAATTCCTAAAAAATTGTACCCTTCTTTACAAAATTTCCTAACGCCAGATCGTTTATCCCCTCCCCCAACAACAAGACAAAAAGATTGGGAATTATCTAAAAATCCATCAAAATTAAAACAACCAACTCAGTCTGTGGTTTCGGTGCCTCCACCTTATGCCCGAGGCCCAGGTTTGGCCATGTCAGCTATAGAACAAGGAATTCAACAAGCAAGGCTGGAAGGGGATTTGGCTGCTTTATATATTCCCATTGTGGTTAGGGATAACATACCACCTAATGATAAATGTTCTAATGGAGTGCAGCGGGTAGTATACCAGCCTTTTCCTTTTAAACTGCTCAAAGAACTTAAGCAGGCGGTTAACCAATTTGGTCCGACTTCCCCGTATACTATAGGATTAATTAAAGGAATAGCTGATGGAAATCAAATGATACCTATAGATTGGAATGATTTGGCTAAAGCCTGCCTTTCTCCAGCCCAGTTTTTACAATTTAAATCATGGTGGATTGATGGAGCGGAGATTCAAAGCAGACAGAATCAGGCCGGTGAAATAAATATTACTAAGGACCAATTAGTGGGTGATGGAGATTGGCTTAATACTGACCAACAAATTACTATGACCCACCAGGCGCAGGATCAGCTTAAGAGAGTGTGCCTGACTGCCTGGGAGAAGATAGAAGTGGAAGGGAAAGTTCACACTTCTTTTCACAAGATTTTTCAAGGACCTCAGGAACCTTATTCAGAATTTATAGCTCACTTACAGGACACTATTAACAAACAGGTGTCCGATGCTCAAGCTGCTGATATTATTTTACAGATTATAGCATATGACAATGCCAATGAAGATTGTAAAAAGGCGATAGGCGCTCAAAAAGGAAAGACAGATGCAATGGGGTATCTCCGTTTATGTCAAAGAGTAGGGACTGAACAGTATAGAGCTACTATGTTAGCTCAGGCAATTACTGGAATGACAAGAGGAAAAAAATTTCCTGGCACTTGTTTTAACTGTGGGAAGCCGGGACATACAAAAAGAGACTGTAGGAAGAAAATTAAAAACGTTTCTAATATGCCCAATGATTCTGCTCCAGCAGAATCTAGACCACCAGGAATATGTCCCCGATGTCAGAAAGGGAGACATTGGGCATCAGAATGTAGATCATTGTATCATAAGGACGGAACTCCCCTTCAGGGAAACGGGAAGCAGGGCCAGCCCCAGGCCCCGACAGCAGCAGGGGCATATGTGACATCAGCCACTCCTCAGAATTATCAGACAGTAACTCCCCCAAACTTTCAGTACAGCAATTGAGTTCAGCTACAGAAGGAAGTGCTGCAGTGGATGTCTGCACCACTCAGGATATTTTATTACTTCCAGGAGAAACACCTCTCCGCGTACCTACAGGAATTTTTGGGCCAATTCCACCAAATACTGTTGGACTTCTCCTTGGTCGATCTAACTTGACTTCAAAAGGAGTAACAGTTCATACAGGAATTATTGATTCGGACTATGAGGGAGAGATTCAAATTATTATATCTTCAACAGTTCCTTGGTCAGCAAAGAAGGGGGAGAGGATTGCACAATTGTTATTGCTTCCGTATGTGTCTCTAAAAAATAAAGGAATCAACAAGAGAGGCACAGGTGGCTTTGGAAGCACAGGAGAGGCAGGAATCTTTTTGGTAGAAAAAATATCAGATATTCAGCCTACTTGCCAAATTGAACTACAGGGAAAGAAATTTAAAGGTCTTATAGACACGGGAGCTGATGTTTCAGTTCTCAGCAATGGCCTAAGGGTTGGGAACTGCAGGATCCCGATATTAGTATTATAGGAGTAGGAAGAACCTCTGGTTTATGCCAGAGTGTTCAGATTCTTCCCTGTGCAGGACAAGAAGGTCAAAAGGGGTTTTTGCAACCATATGTTGCTGATATTCCCATTAATTTATGGGGTAGGGATTTATTGACTCAATGGAATGCGAAGGTTTGGATTCCTCCCAATCAATATAGTCCTCAGAGTCAGAAGATTATGAGTCAGATGGGATATCAGCCAGGAAAAGGATTAGGAAAATTTAAACAAGGTACAACTCAACCCCTTCAACCACAACCCCAACTCGAAAGACAAGGACTTGGTTATCAGACCAAACAAAATAACCCTTTTTTGTAGGGGCCACTGTTGAAGAGCTACATGCTCCTATGCCTCTTAAATGGAAAAATGATACTCCTATATGGATTGAACAGTGGCCCCTTCCACAAAAAAAATTAGAGACATTGAAGAAATTAGTGCAGACACAATTAGAACAAGACCATATAGAACCATCTACTAGCCCTTGGAA